CACGACGCTGTGGGCAGGGCGGAGGCTCCCATGGGAGGAGCTGGGGGCAGGGTGGGCGTGCTCGGAGGTCTGGGACCAGGAGCTCAGAACTAGGGCCAGCCCCTCAGCAGCATGGCCAGCGTGCAGGGTGGTCAGCAGGGCTGCTTGCAGCCTTCTGCCCCGACCTGTCGTGAGGACACGGGGCTTTGTCCACGCCGGCCACACCATGGGTTGTGGCTTCGCTGCTGACAGCCAGGGTTCTGTGCCCACCAGGGGGCTGGCCCTGCCCCTCCAGGTAGTGTTGACATGGGCAGCTTGCTCAGCAGACACTTGGCTGCCCCGTGGGGACATCCTGCGCGGGCGAGGCTGGGGTGTGTGCTGGCCGGGAGCCCGAGGCTCAGCGTCCCTGGTGTCCACCCAAAGGCCAAGCTGTCCCGCACCCTCCCTGGGTCTGGGAGCCCGCTGAACATGGCCGCTTGGGCTGGACCCGCGCGTGACGGGGCCGTCCATCTGGCGGGACGCCCTGTCGCTGCTGCCCTTCCCTCCTCGTCCTCCTGTGAGGGCGAGCCCCTGCCTGGAGGCCGCACCCTGACAGGCTTGTCTGCCAGCTTCGTGGCAGGCTGCGGGCTGCTGCAGCTCTCTGTGCCTCTGGACGGGAGGGGGCCGTTCCGGATGCTCTGTGAGGAGCGCCAAGCCTGTGGCCGTCAGCTTCCACGAGGCAGGTGTGTCCCTTCTCCACAGGCCACACGGCTGCCACCGAGGCTTTCCACAGGCTTAAGAGATGGCTCAGGTTGGGACCAGCAGTTGGCGTGATGGCTATGTTGTTGGACTCCCATGTCGTCAGCTATGGTTTGAGTCCCGGACCCAGTGGCTTAAACTCAGGCTGGGTGCATGTGCGTGTGTGCCCAAGATCCCGAGAGAAGGGGTTGCGGTGTGGCCATCCCCCCTGGGGGGTGACTTCTCACTTAGCAAAAACCTCTCTCCAAAAAAAATGGCACGGGTGACGTGGTGGGCACTCAGCTTCCCCACGAAGATCCAGAGGGACCGTGTGCATGTGTGTGTGCTTGCATGTTTGCACCTGCATACCCGCCTGCTCAGTTCCCTGGGACCTGGAGGTGTCGCGGCCTCCCCTCTGCAGGCGCCACGCAGTTCTCTCGCTGCAGCTGCAGGCAAGGGCTGTTCCAGGCACAGACCTTCCCCTCTCCTTGCAGGGCATCGATTTCTGCCCGGGGCAGAATGTTTCCGGGGTCACAACGCACACCCAGGAGGAGCACACGAAGCTGCCCCTGGTTTTCCACCTGGGGCGAGACCCTGGGGAGAGGTACCCCCTCAGGTGAGCCCGGGGCACCTCCTGGCACCTCCTGGTTCTCATATGAGTGGCTCAGGCCTGAGCCCAGCAGAAGGGGAGGCCGGCCACCCCCACCCCACCCTGCATGCCAGCCCCAGCCTGGCCGTACCCCAGCAAGCACGTCTGTCCCCTCGAGTGCCTGCTGGCCTGCCTTCCTCCTCCTCTGAGCGGTCTCTGGGCTGGGAAGCCCTGGGCAGCAGGAGGACTGACTACGGCAGGGGTTGGGAGCCCTGGCCCTGGGGTGAGGTGACTTGGGATGAGGGCAGCCCAGTGTAGGCTGCTGCAAGGTCTGGGACTGCCCGGCCTGCTTGAGAGGTGGTTCGCTCCCTGAGCCAGGGGCCGCCCTCCGCAGCCGGGTGGGTAGCGGGCCGCTCGTCTGACTCCGAGGCCCCTTGGCCTCCCATGCTCTCCCCACTTGCAGCTGCGGCGAGGCCCGGCCACAGCCACCCGTTAACAGCATTCTGGTTCTTCCGGGCAGTTCTAGGAGGGGCACAGGCTCCACATGGGGGCCACCGAGGCCCTCGGCTGTGGCCAAGTAGGCGAGCCTGGCCTGTGCTGGCTCCCGGCAGACGTCATCGTAAGCCGCCCCGTGGGAGAACACGGCTGTCCTGGCTGTCCCGGCTCTGCAGCCCCAGCTGTGACAAGGCCCCTGGCTGTGCACATCGGCAGGCCTGGCCTCCAGGTCTCATGGACTCACCTTCCCAGAGCTCCCCGCCTACTCAGGCCTTGATGGCGGCCAGGGAACAAGTGCAGAGATGGTCAGAGCGGAGCGATGGCCCCACGCCCGTGCTTACCAGGCCCTTCACAGTGTGGCCCTACTGGGTCAGGGTCTTTGCAGATGAGGCCGAGGACAGTGTCCTGGGTCCAGAAGAAGTCACGGTGGGGTGAGTGGAGATGTGAGAGGTAGGCAGAGGCCGGCCAGTGGCTGGAGCTGCCAGGAGCCGGGGGAGGTGGGAGGAGCTCCCCAGCCGTCGTAGATCCGTTCTGCTCATGCCTGGACCTCTGACCCCGGAGGAGGACGAGGTGCCTGTGCTCACCGGAGGAGGGGCAGGACCACGCCCCATGGGGAGTGGCCACACCCAGTCCTCTCTGCCTTCCTGGTATGGGTGTACGCCTGTGTCTGGCGCAGTATTCACACTGCAGGGTTCAGCTTGAACTGCACAGTCGGCTGTGGGCACCCAGCCACCTTCATCGCCCACCACTGGCCGGCCCAGGGGCCCTGTGGCTTTAAGCCCATGGTGCGTGGTCATTCTCACCAACCACAGCAGACCCACACAGACAAGCTGGGAACACCTCGGGGGTAGCAGGCTGGGAACACACACCACGGGGCCCACTGCAGCTCAGTCGTGCCGTCCCAGGAGACCACGGAGCAGGTCAGCTCAGGCCTGCCCAGCCACCCAGCCAGCGGGGCCCTCAGCCCCTGGCGTGGTGGGACGGCCACTGCAGTGGTGCTGTCAGGCCCCTGCTCAGCACTGCCCGGTCCTTGCGGTCTCCTGTTGCTGACACGCTGCCCGGCTGCAAACCCAGGCGGCCAGCCCCCAGCCTCCCTCAAGAGCGTGAAGGGGGCTGGGAGGCCCCTTCCCCGAGGTCAGACACCCAGGAGGGGGCCTCTGCCACTGCCCCATCTCGCTTTGGAGCGAGCCTCTTCCCACAGACATGACAGCGTCGCCCAGCCTCTGGGAGCTCCTGCTGGGAGAGTCCTGGTGTTGGCCGGCTCTGGCTGGTTCAGCAAGGCGGGCTTGGCCAAGTAGGCCCTGGAACCCTGCAAGGACTGACGCGGGCTTTCGAGTTTGAAAATGGGCCGTGGGGGAAGGTGCGTGTGTGTGCACATCCGCAACCCCAGGAGGAGAGTGGGTGAGAAGGGCTGGTCATCTCCTGGGGTGAGTTCTCACTTTTCCTCCCTGGAGCTCACATGCCCTACAGCAAAGTCAGGTACAGGTCTGGCGGCCTGAGACCCCGGGAACGTGCACCCAGGACACAGGGACGGGGAGGCGGCCAGGAGCCAGCCCACTGTGCCTGACTGCTGCAGAAGCAGGTGACCGCAGGCAGAGCCCCGGCACATCTGTGGTCAGCAGAGGCTTGGGAAGGAGTCAGACCCACTCAGAATCATGCTGGTTCCAGGCGCGGCCTGGGGTCCCAGACAGAACAGGGCCCGAGGAGCGGAAGCAGCTCCCGCCAGGTGGGGGTGCACCCTGCTGCTCCCCAAAACAGCCGCTCTGAGGTTTTGGGACTGGAAGCCACTTTTGCTCAGCATGGTGGGTATTTGGGGCTGTACGTCCAGGTTCAAGGAAGTCCTAGCTCTCCCACTGCTGGACTTGAGCTGACAGTGGTGCCCCGGGAGGGCTGCCCCAGCCTGAGCTCTCCCACTGCTGGACTTGAGCTGACAGTGGTGACCCTGGGAGGGCTGCCCCAGCCTAAGCTCTCCCACTGCTGGACTTGAACTGACAGTGGTGCCCCAGGAGGGCTGCCCCAGCCTGAGCTCTCCCACTGCTGGACTTGAGCTGACAGTGGTGCCCCGGGAGGGCTGCCCCAGCACAGGGTACTGACAGCATGGTCTCCAGTGAGGACCACAGGCCCCCTGGGTTCCCAGTGGCCCGGGCATCGCTGGGAGGCCTAGGGGCAGATGAGCACCCAGGTGGCTAG